ATTACGAGGGGGCATAGTTTTAAAGTGAGTGGAGGTAGATATAAGGGAAACGTCAGAGGTAGGTTCTTTACTCAGAGTGGCAGGGGCGTGGAATGCATTGCCGGAGAGGGTAGTGGAGTCGGCCTCATTAGGGGAATTTAAGTGGCAATTAGATAGGATGATAGTATAAAGTAGGAGTGGAGGTTAGAAAGACCTTAGGTTTAGGGTAAAAGTTCGGCACAACATCGTGGGCCGAAGGGCCTATACTGTGCTGTATTGTTCCATGTTCTATGTTCTATGCATGCTATAGCAAATAAGTGATGAAATGATGTAAATTAAATACAACTGCACTTTGCAAATGTCTGCTTCACGTTCTTATCACTATAATATCATGGGGTCAAGCAATTATGGATCCTGTGCCTTTTCTCAACCAACTGACACTCCACCCATGTTTGGTGTTGTTCCAGCCATTTTCTATTCGTACTTCATCTCTAGAGCAGAGAAAGTGATGGTTGGGAATGCAAATTGCAGTGGCTACCTTCAGCACTTCTGCATGGTCAACAGGTAACCCACCTTGCCCCAATACTCCCAGTCCTTATGCCACACACTAACCCAACAGTCCATTTCAAACTATTCCGCCTAAATACAGACCCAACACACTGAACTTCACCTACAACTGTGCTTTCTGCCCATGAACCCTGGCACTTTGATGATGCTACCCTGCTCATCTATAGTCCTCCTTTGGAAGCTGCAGTGGTCACAATCAATAGTCTCCCCGTTCTATAGCCTACTATTCCCTCTGATGCTGTTCCTCAGTCCCCCATTCACATTAGCTTCACCTGTCTGTCCTTATCCCCATTTCTACAAATGTCTCTATTTCTGCTCCTCCCACCCTTCCCCTTCCCCTTCTGTAATTGAGCCCCTTGTTACCTCTATAGATTTTCATATTAAGCCTCCTGCAAGACTGATGAACAGTTGGAAACCCAGGACTGTATTCAGCCAGGACCTGTGAATGACTTTGAAGAACAGCTACTATACATGACTGACCAACCCCAACTGCTTTCTTAGATTCCCTACAATGTGGAAACAGGCCATTTGTCCAACAAGTCCACATCAACCCTCCGAAAAGCATCCCACCCAGACACATCCCCATCCCTTACCCTCTCTCTGCATTTACCATGGCTAACACATCTAACCTACACATCCCTGAACACTATGGGCAATTTAGCATGGCCAATCCACCTAACTTGCACATCTTTGGACTGTGGGAGGAAACCTGGCAATCCGGCAGGGGCCCACACAAATACAGGGAGAAAATGCAAACTCCACACAGAGAGTGGCATGAGGGTGGGATTGAACCTGGGTCCCTGGCACTGTGAGGCAGCACTGAGCCACTGCACTGCCCGTGCTTTGTTTACAATCCCTGAATGACAGCATGCAACTCCCATGACAGCTAATACTGGCCAAACAAGACCAACTACTGAAGTGTTCCCCTGATTGTGGACATCCCAAGGTCAATGACTGACTTGGTTGAAGCCCCTACACACCATGACCAACAGCACACCCCTCCCCCGACTGTACTGAAGATTGCACCCAACAATTTCAAGATGGCCAGTTGGTTGAAAAAGCATGCAGTATGTTTGCTACATGGGTTCTACAACATGCAGTAGGTGTTAGATTGTTGTCTTGGACAGCCATTTACAAGGATGCTGCCCCCAACCTCACTAGACAGTTCGCTACTAGCAAAAATGATAAGTGGATGATAAACAGCCTCTGACTGAAGCACCAATACATAACAAGCATGGCAAGGCAAGGATGTTGTGAGTGTGCAAGTAAACTCTAAGTGAGCAAAATCTAAGACGGCAAGCGTGTAGTCCTGAGGTGCAGGATCTCTGACATCCAAATATTCATTCCACATACCTGTCTGTGTGCACAAAGTATCCCTGCCATTGTCTTTTCAATGCTAATTGCCAGTGTGCCCTGCACAGCGAGTCTGAGCTTCCTAAACAGCCTGTCACTGTATCAGAGAGGTGCCATGATGGTTGCAATGGGTTGTCAGATGCTGGATGCCAATGCCCATGAATGAAAAGGTGCCTGCCCAGTGGATAATATCCTGAGATGTTGTTGCCCAGTGTCCAACATGGAGCATGGAGAAAGTGGTGAGCTGAATCAGCTAGGCACATCTTCTGATGCCTTTGTTGAGTTTTTCCAACATCAAGCTTGTTTGGTAAGTTTGTTAAGATGGGAGACTAAATTTAGTGAGGTGAACTGTGCCATTAACAAGGCATTTAGTAAGTGTTAATCACCTTCAATTGGCAACTTGCTTGTGCCCAGTGAGACTCTCACCACACCATTTGTCAAAAGCATAAAACATGGCTCAAGTTGCTCCCATTGTTGAAATGGGCCTCATCGCACTCGTCACCTAATTCTGGCACACATCTTGCCATAGCCCATGTTGCCCAGATTGCCTTAAGATTGCACCCTTTGTGGCCAGAAAGTCCAAAAGAAAATTGTAAATGTTGTGTAAGAAGTTTAGAACTCTGGAGTGATCTTGACACTCTGGAGTGTCATGACGTTGCTTCTCACTGGACATAAGCAGCATGGTACAAGTAGAAATAAGAGCGACAATAGGAACATGTGGAGAACGAGGCAGAAGACTATAGTTTAGCCTTGAGAATATTGGAAACACATGCAGAGATGCATGTGGAGCAGACCAACATGCATTAGTCAGTAAAGCTAACTGAACAGTCTTTCAATAATGCAACAGTCAGAGTAGAAGATAGTATATCTGTGGGGACTGTAGGGATTGCGCTCCAGAGATCTGAATGTCCAAGAAACTTTATCACAATCTTGTATTTGCTATGTGATGATATTACTGCAACTGTCTCAAGCAGGAGTTATGAAAGAGATACCTTCAAAGTCCAGACCAATGTCAAACAAGACTATATGATGGCCACGCACTATTTACAATCTACCTGATGGTAACTATTCACCTCATTAAATATCAATTGCCCTTTTGTGTAAGCACTAAGAATTGTCTAGAAGGAAAATTCTAACTGCTGCCTCTATGCCAAAACTAACTAACCACCACAGATATACATGACCTACAATTTCTGGATGACAGCAATATCGTTGCCTGCTCTACATCAGATTTGAAGCCACTCTCAATCTCATCACCTCTGCATACTAGAAACTCAGTCTCTTCTCAAATGTTGCCAAACAAAACATACATGCATGCAAATCTTCTCAGTCAAAGGTTCCAACTCCCATATATGTTGAAGAAGTGTCCCTGGAATACGTTGAGCATTTCCCATACCTCATCAGCAATCTCTCTCAAATGGCCACCATTGACTAGGTGATCCACCACTGCATCAGCTGTGCTGCCTTAACCTTAAAAACTGTGTAACTAGTGATTGGCAACAAAGGCCCCTGCAAGTCAACAAAATAGCAATGTGCAGAGTAGTTGTCATCTCATGCTCCTGTACTGCAGTGAGATCTGAAATGTGAATCAGTGTTATATAATAACGGTATACAAATTCCACCAGCAATGTCTCAGTTGCATTTTCCAGATTCAACGAAGGAACATTCAGAAAAATCTTAACGAATTTCATGAAGCCAGCGCTAAAAGAATTCAGGCATAACTCCTGCAAAAACAACTGCAACGGACTGGGGACTGCATCCAGGTGACTAAAACGTGTCTCACTCTACCCGATTGTTTTCTCAACTCTCCAACAGTTAGCATTCCAGGAAAGGACAAAAAAAAAGTTCAAAGTCACTCTCAGGTTCTTGGCTGCAAGGAGCTTGCTACCAATTGTTGAAAATTGCAGTAACTTGTTCATTAAGCTGCATTGTGCTTTGAGAACAAACACCTTAACGCTGAGGCAGAGTGACAACAGAGCAGGAAAGTAGAAGAAACAAAGGAGGCAGCATAAATGCAGGAAGGATGTTTCTGATGACAGGGGATTCCAGAACCAGTGTTCACAGCTTAAGCATACAGGGTAGGCCATCTGGAACTGTGATGAGGATGAATTTCTTCACCCAGAGAGTGTTCAGCCAGTGGAATTCTCCGCCACAGAAAGTAGTTGAGGTCAAAATTTAGAATGTTTTTCAGAAGGATTAGGTACAGTTCTTGGGGCTAAAGGTATCAGAGGGCGTGGGGTGAAAGCAGGTACAGGATACTAAGTTGAATGATCAGTTATTGAATTGTAAGGCAAGCTCAAAAGGTTGAATGGCATACTCCTGTTCCTATTTTCTCTGTTTCCATTTATTTTTCTAAATCCTGCATTCTGAATTCTAATACCTTGTGACACATCTTGCATTATGGGCCCAACGATCTGTGGATCAAGATACGGTCCATGCAGTCACATGAAAATCATGGCAGAAACTCACGACCCTGAGTATCAGCCATTCTTGAATGAAGACTAATGATAAATATTATCTATTTTCCCCTTCCAATACTTTTGGTCTCTTTTTAATTAAATTTTAAATGGCACTTTCTTTTATTTTCCACCTGAAGCACAATTCTCTGCTTTTCCATAATTAGTCCAGCTCCTTCTGACAGCCAAAACTGGACCAGAAATAATGAATAATGCATATAATCCCATCATGGGAAAAAAAAATGTGCATTAAACTATTGTACCTTTGCCCAGCACTAAGTATTCTCATTCTCAAATGAACATTGCCTGGTCAAAATAGCTATCTGCAGAATAAATTAATTGCAAATGATAGCCACTTTGTTCGACTAATGTTTATCTATTACTGTTCCTTCTTCTGGTAAATTTCCTTCTCTTGTGCTGAATTTGAACTAGCACATATTATCAAATACAATAAAGCTATAATGCGCCTCGATAATATCGTAAAGCATGCTGGCAAATTCTACTACCAGTAAAGTTCACATACAACTTCCTCACATATGCATAATATATTCCTTTGTATTATATTTTTAATCTTGTACTAACGCGTTCACTGACCTTGCTGGTCAGAAAATGTATCTTATTTTAATTATGGCTCAACTTCCCCACCTGTGAATAATAATCAACATAGGTGATTTCAGTTCCATCTGCTTTTTTGAATTTGTTGGTAGGTTTCACAGACCAGTCAATGTCATCGATGCGATATGTTTTGTTATTGTATCTAGGAGAAACAAACACTGAAGTAATGTAAAAACCTAACATAAAAATGACAACCTAGATTTTTCTTCAAGTTAGATTAGCATTGTTGGATAATTCAATAAATGTGCAGCTGCTCCCAAATAGCCCCTACTACTTCTGCATTTCCACTGAGCCAACATTGAGCGTACATCTGTCCGAAAATGAGTTTACCTATTATAACTACTATAGCTACAACTGAGACAAAACAACACGTTTTATTTATACTTGAGCAAAGTTGGACAGAGAAGGGATTTGTTCGTACCTGAGATTCAGTGCTATTAAGAAGGGCAGAAGATTTTCTTTCATAAACGATGGCTATTTTAAGTTTACAATTCTGCATTTCTTCAACTGACTAAATTTAGGACACTGGCCATGCAAAACTGCAGCAGAACTCCAAGCCATTCTTTGGATAGTTCAAGGCAGAGTCAAATGCCAAGGTCAAGACGCATCCTTAAAGTGAGTAGGGGACTCACTCTTCTACATCTCCACTAACACTTCAGCTAAATGGAAAGTCAATATTCATGTTTGGTAACATGATGGGACCAGGGCTTTAAAAGGTGTATTTTGTCCTGGTTTTATTTAAAATGAAGAGAAGTTCAGTTAGAGGTAGAGAGTGGTCTGTTCCCAACCAATAACATTAACAGCCTGTGAGGCCTTGGAGTTTTCTTTAAAAAATGTTGGAACAATAGAAGCAGCATGAAGGGATGGGGTCAAGCTCTCACAGAACCAGGATTTTTGTTTAACTTTCAGCAGCTTTTGGGGTTTAGAAGTTGCTAAAAAGCTTCAGTGGCTCAGTGGTTAGTACTGCTGCCTCACAACACCAGGGGCCTGGGTTTCATTTCGTCCTCACGCAACTGTCTGTGTGGAGTTTGCACATTCTCCCCGTGTCTGTGTGGGTTTCCTCCCACAGTCCAAAGATGTGCAGGCTACGTGGATTGCCTATAGTGTTCAGGGATGTGTAGATTAGGGGGATGGGTCTGGGTGGGATGCTCTGAGGGTTGGTGTGGACTTGTTGGGCTGAAGGGCCTGTTTCCACACTGTAGGGATTCTAAGGATTTCTCCCTGCTACAGTAAAACGCTTGTGTGCTCTCTCTCATACACATAGCTTTCTCTTGATGTTTTTTCTTCCCAGACTGGGGCATTGTAAGTGAGACAATCTATTTAACTGAATTTGTCTTTGTCAAGAGTGTGTTTACAGGATGTTACTACATTGGGACAGTTGCTGTTTAATTGTTAAATAATCTATTATTCTGTTGAGTTTTCCAAAAGAGTTAAGTTATTCCAATTCTTCTTTGTTTGTTTGTATTGTTACAGTAGTGTAAGAATAAAGTGTGTGTCGCTTCAAGCCTGGTAGTTTGATCAATTTAATTGCATCCTGAATACAATGGCTTACACTTGCCTTTAAAAATAAGAAAAAGTTGAGGTCCAGGCTATCTTCTCAATATATATTGAGGGGATTTGTTCTAGTCCATAACAGTAAGAATAATGTAACAATGTTTCTGTAACAATGTTGTTAGATCCAGAGAACTGAAATTGTCTTGAATCTTTACCATGCCGGCAACTGAGCCCAACAGCAGACAATCCAAATTTCTGCAATGCTACAAGATCAATTCATCATCAACAATGGAAATGAAATGGAAATGAAAAAGATGCTCAAGAATACTAATATTTTGATTTGAGATTGTATTACAGACTTTCAAAGACCATTCAATTGACTTGACCTAAAAGCAGTTCATTAACAACTGGTCAATGGCACGGTTCTCAATTAACCTTCTTTCTTTTACCTCTAAGCCTCATGTGCAAGCACATTGTGTAAGGTTGTCTGTGATCCTGTGACATTATTGCTAGTTGTTCTACAACAAATAATTTGGAACAAAATACATGAAAATACAATGGTAGTTACTCAATTTTGAAGAATTATACTTGCATTTTTATAGGTGAAACGTCCACTGAGCTTCTCTTTCAGAATATAACACAGAAAAAGCAAACAGAATTTACAAAATCACATGAACGAGAAAACAGATAAAACTTCTAACTCAGAACCTTTAACTGCACAATGTTAACTAATGAAATTAAATGAAATGTTGCAACATTAGCTGGAATTATTAATTACAATTTCATCAAATAAGTGAACAGCCTGGTCCACCATTAACTTTAAAGATTTCAAATACTGTTTAGTTTTGATTTTTGTTTTGCTGATTATAATTTTTTTTCAATTTTGAAAATATTTTCATCTTTGTTGTTATGACTAGTAATCACAACAAAAGATGACAATAAGCACTTATATGCTGACTAGCAATTGTAGCTGTCCCAGTTTGTTTGTTTACCTTGTAAGGACAACAAATCCCACTAATTCTTTCATGCAGGTATCACTGAAATGCTGGTCACCAACTCTGTTGTACAGCTCAATCATGAAGTCTAATACAGTTTCATTACGCAGAACTTTGTGGCTTATGTCAACAGACAACAGGATCTGGGTCTCATATCTCAAGACTGAAGTAGAAAAGCCTGGCCATAAAATCAACCTGGAATTAGAAAAACACCTAACATGTAAATACATGGCTGTTGAGTGTTTAGGCACTCTCCAAATACAACAAAATTGAGATGAATTCCAATTCTGATTTCAGTATGGAAGAGGAAGAGAAGTCAAATATTGGTAGATGAGGCATTGGATTAGCAGAACATAGGATGATTCAAGAACTTGATAAATAATTAATGACTGCAAATTTTTTATTGACTGAGACTGATTTTTCTGTTGGACTACCTATTTTCTACTAGCTGTTTATATGCCTCTTCCATATTCAGTTCCTGCTTCGGAGATATTTCACTCTTCTCTGGACTAGTTGTGATTTGTTCCTGCTAGTTTCATACTGCTGTGAATACCACTCCCAAGGGACTAAACACACACAGTTTAATTGCAATTTACTTTCTGTGACTGCTGACTGTGACCACTCAATCCCCACTCATCCTTTAAAATTCCTCAATTGCCTTTGAAGCTTTCTTTGAACCACATTATGCTCCTTCCAATCATGTTTGTTCCTAACCACCTTACAGACAATCCTTAGGCCACTTTACTGTGGTCCCATGGACTCTCATTGGCTTTTGGAGCTGTTGGTTAATGAGTTTCACTTACACTACACTTCACCCTTTTGCTGGTGCAATGGGTCCCACCTCAGCAACACTTGAGCCCGCTATACAGTTCCACTGAACTCCAAGATTAGTCTTTCCTGACACAAGATCAATTGCCTATTTTTCCCTTGCTCTCTATTTCTACAGGAGTAACTTTCTCCAATGCTACCATTGATAATTTGTCCTACATATTTCCTAGATATAGCCTTGCTCCATAAGTAAATCTGAAGTTAAAAGGGCAGAGCTTCTTATTTATTCTTTCTTGGGGTGTTGGCATCACTGGTAAGGCCAGTGACAGTTGCCCTTGAATTGGGTGATTTTACAGACCACTACATTGCTGTGAATCTGGAGTGTGGTGCAGGACAGACTAGGTACAGTTGACAAAGGTTCTTTCAAGAAGGGCATTGGTGTATCAGATGGGCCTTTATGACAATTGATTTTAGTTTCGTAGCCACCATTACTGAGACTACCTTACAATTCCAGAGTAATTGCATTTAAATTCCACCCAGTTGCCATGATGGGATTTGGACTTACAGCATTAGCCTGGGGCCTTTGTGACATTACCACTACACCATTATCTCCCAGCTAGCTGACTCCATGCAGGTATTTTTGATACCTGATTCCAAATTTTCAGATCATAACTTTGGAGTATTTTACATCGTCTTCTCAGCCAACTTTGTTTATGTTCCACCTAATCTCTACTATGTATTTCCCTTTGTGGCCGTTAATAGTTTTGACGCTTCAAGACCCAAGTCCACTACTTACACCTCTGTTTCTGTTCTTGACTGCAAAGACTTCTTCCCCTCTCTGGTCTCTTCCCACAGATGGAGAATCCAGCACTGGCAATTATCATCTCAGGGTAAGAGATCAGCTTTTTAGGATTAGGAAGAGAAATTTCCTCACCCAGAGGGTGGTGAATATTTACAATTCTCCACTGGAGGACTGCGGGTGCTCAGTTGGTGAGAACGTTCAAAAATTAAACAAATATATTTATGGTCATTAACGATATCAAGGAATATGAGGCTAAGGCAGCGTGGTGATGTTGATGAAAGAGTTAATCAATGATCTTAATAAACTGCTAAATATGCTCAATTGATGATACGGTCCAAGTCACTCTTCTTGCTAATGTTCTGATTGATCACCAATCTCAGGTTGAATTTCTCTTAAATATTCCAAATGATCCCTACTGTGTCCTTCTCAACATTCTCTAAAAGGCTCCTTGAGGTAATTATCATTGTTTCATTACAAGCAGCACCTAAAATTGGTTCATTCTGCAATTTTTCTTTTCCACACATCCACTGAGTGGTCACCTCACCAATCTCTTGCCTACATCCGTCTTCCTCCTATATAATTCTGTCCATTCAAAAACACTAAGCTGAATTTAATAGGTAAGACGAAGGTACATTCACAATGCTGTTGTTAGTGGGCTTCACAACTGTGAACTAGCAACAGAGTAGCAGTAATATACATCCTAAGCAAGTCAACATAACTTGGAGATGAAGAAGGCAATGATGTCCTCATAAACAATGTCCTTCCCAGTATTGCAGTTTTGGGAGGTGCTGCCAAAGAAGCTTTTGCTACAAATTTGAAGTCTTATAAGATGGTTATGATGGATATGTTTTAAACCATCTCTTGAAATTCATGACTATATAATCATACACAATTTGAGTATAGCCAAAAAAAGACAACAGTCAAATTTTTTCATCTTGCATTCATCAGGAAAAACTTGCACAATGACCAAATCTAAAAAGGAACAACTTACAGTGCATGAGCACAGGGCACTGACTGGTTAACAAGTGGACTCTAATTAGTAGAGGTATTGTCACAGAGAATGCACCAGTAAATGGACATCTTCAAGCTCTGGTTCAGATGAAAAAGGTGGATGTGCGATGGTGCTGGTCTTTCTATCTGCAAAGGATAGGGCTGTGTGTGAGAATATATGGGATTTCTAGCACCTGTAAATGAGTAGCTCTGTGAAATCTTACAGTTGTAGAGTCATTGAGTAACACAGCATGGAAACAGGCCCTTTGGCCCAAACTGGTCTATGCTGACCATGGTGCCCATGCAGCTAGTTCCAGTTGCCCACATTTGGTCCATATCCCTCTAAACCCTTCCCATCCATGTACCTATCCAAATGTTTTTTTAATGTTGCTGTTGTATCTGCGTCAACCACTTTCCCTGGCAGCCCATTCCATATATGCACCACTTTCTGCATGAAGAAGTTGCCCCTTAGGTCCTTCTTAAATCTTTCCCTTCTCACCTTAAACCTATGCCCTCTAGTTTTCAATTCCCCATCCCTGGGAAAAAGACTATATGCATTCATCCTATCTACGCCCCTCATGATTTTACACACCTCAACAAGGTAACCCTTCATTCTCCTATGTTCCAAGGAATAAAGTCCTTTCATGGCCAACCTCTCCCTATAACTCAGGCCTACTAGCACCGGCAACATCCTCGTAAATCTTCTTTGCACACTTTACAATTTAACTAAATATAAACTGAAAGAACTGCAGATGCTACAAATCAAGAACAGCAGCATCTGATTTTTTTTCTTCACAGATGCTGCCAAACCTTCTGAGCTTCCAGGAACTGCTGTTTGTGTTCTAGTTTAACTAGTCCTTATGACAGGGTGACCAAAACTGTACACAATACTCCAAGGGCGGCCTTACCAACAACTTATGCAACTGTAACATAATATCCTAACTCCTGTACTCAATGTCTCGACCGATGAAGGCCAGCATGCTAAATGCCTTCTTCGCCAATCTGTCTGGTTGGGACACCTTTTTCAACAATGTACTTGTACTCCTAGGTCCCTTTGTTTCACAAACTCCTCAGGACCTTACCATTTACTGCATAAGTCCTATCTTGGTTTCACTTTCCAAAGTGCAGCACCTCACACTTACCTGTATTGAATTGCATTTGTCAATCCTCAGCCCACTTCACCACCTGATCAAGATCCCTCTGTAATTTTTGATAACCTTCCTCACTATCAACAATACCTCCTAATTTTGTATCATCCACAAACTTACTAATCATGCCTTGTACATTCAGATCCAACTGAACTGATAATTATAAACTGGTAAAATATGATATGAATTAAAGTGCTGGTGTGATTTTAGGTATAATAAGCCTGGTGAACTGTATCTGTTTGACTAACAAACCAAATCAAACCCACAGCTCCTTGCAACATGACCACAGCTCAAACTTGCAAAACTCAGAACAAAATGCCCAACATTAGATTTAACTTTGTAATCAGACAACAATCACTAAGAATTACTCTAACCACCAATGTGCAACTTAAGTCTCCCTAAGAGACTCTGAACAGGAACAGAGAGGGAAGGAAAACAGCAGCTATGGCAGTCCACACAGGGAAAAGGCTATTTTCATTGTTAACCACCATGCAGAATGCTGCAGGAAGCTTGTCCATTGGCTGAAGAGAAGGAGTCCATAGCACTTTAACAATGTTGAAAGCTGTGCCCTGGAGAGGCTGACAGAAGAAATCACCAGAGTGGACTTTGCTGCCGAAATTTCAGTCAGAAGATAGCAGGACGAGGGAGAGGATATACGTCGTTATTGATGCTATGACTCAGCAAAATGCAGAGGAATGAACAATTGGAAGCTGCGAATGATTTTAGATCATTTCTTGAAAAGACTACAATTATGTGCACATATGTAGGCGGCATGTGGTTATTAGTTACATTAAGATATTAATAACGATTAGCTTTTCTAAATCTTAGTTGTCTGCCAAACAATGTTTAGATGATACTGATTATAATTCATCTGTTGCCGCAGATATATTAAAACTTGAAATCTGGTCATGTGATTTAAGTTGGTCACTAGGAATTCAAAACTATTTTTAAACAAGTTATTGGTGTCAATGGAGATAACATATTTGTAACATATTATCATATTTGTAGCGTAGTACACACTTCAGCCATGGTACAACACTGGCAAGGTTTTGGGCTAGTGAATGAAACAGCAGGTTTTCTTACCATATCTTAGCAAACTTGCCTCGTTAACTACTCATGCCAGTCTAACAGCAGCACTCAGATTTGATTATAACCCCACTCTAAAACTTAACCTAGAAAAACTCGCCAGATATTACAGAATGGATCAAAATCCCTGGCACTGATACCATCTTTAAAGCCCGCTTTGCCCCCTGACTAAGTATACTTAGCCTGAGGCTACCCTGCACCACTCCCAATATTTGGCCTGGGCATGGCAGAGAAAGGAAAATTTGCACCTCGTTTTGTGGCAGGTATCTGGAGGTCCTGCTGGAAAAGTGGTGCAGAAGTAGGACATCTTACCCCTGGACAGCAATGGCAGCCACAACATCAGCCATCTGGAGCAATGCACAGCAATGTAGGAAGAAGGTCAATAATTTTCTCCACTCTCCCAGCTTCAGTGCTACTAGGGGTGGCATGGTGCCTCAGTGGTTAGTACTGCTGCCTCATTGCACCAGGGACTCAGATTCAATTCCACCCTCAAGCAACTGCGTGGCGATCTGCGTGTGTTTTCTCTGGGTGCTCCAGTTTTCTCTCACAGTCCAAAGATGTGCAGATTAGGTGGACTTGTTGTCCTAAATTGCCCATAGTGTCCAGGGATGTGTAGTTTAGGTGAATTAGCTGCGAGACATGCTCTTCAGAGGGTTGATGTGGATTCAATGGGCCAAATGGCCTATTTCCACACTGTGGGAATTCTATGATGTTCTCTCTCTGCTACTGTACTCACCTCCACTTCATGCTCTACCACTCTTACTATTGTCTGTAACATTTTCCCTCACTTGATCTCACCCACCCTAATCCCTGACATCATTAACCCTCCATGCCCTGTGCACTGCCTATTCATTCCAGACACATTCCTTTCTGCAATAAAACAGCTCTGCCACCTACTTCAATTGCCCATTATATCTACCTCCCTCTCATCCCAGGAAGAAAACAGCCCAAAATAGACCACAAGAAGTCTAGACAAATGGAGGGCTGCCTGACATTCAGCTCCTCACCCCTTACGAGGAGAGTACCCTGATGCTATCCACCTTAAGCAGCTAATTAACCATAATTTGGACTGGTATCAGAGGCTGCCCTTGACTTACCGTAATGGGACCACCTAACTGAAGGCTATTTCCCTTGCTACGACTGAGGACTGCTGACAACAATGAAAAGCCTCCTGGTTTTGTGTGTGTGCCAACGAGCATAGCATTACAGCAGCACTATGAGCCTGGTATCTCTGGCTGAGGGGCAAGATGCAAAAAGGTAAGGCAAGACGCAAAAAGGCAAGGCAAGACAATGCAGGGAGCATCCAGGTGGGTTCAAAGTGAGTCAGCACTGAGAAAGAAGGCAAACAGCCCAGAGATGCTTGCTGTTGCATTCCAAGGTGCAGCACAGAAGTTTGGAAGCATCCTGCAAGTGGACTGGAGATGAGTCATGAGGGTTCTTAGAGACTGGCACAAGTCAGATGCCAATATCTGTAGACATAGGGTACATGTCACGGCTCCCCATGCAGCATAACCTGAAATATTGGTGCCTTGTGTCCAATATGGAGATTGTTTGGAGAAAGCAGTCAGTTGAAATTATCAGGTGCCCACTTGTGATTTCTTGCCATGCAGTTTACTCTCGGTATAACAGAAATCTACATAGCAATGAAATTAGTCTGCAGTTATTAAGGTCAATAACAAGCAATAATCCCCCTTAATAGGCAACCTACGTAGCAAGGCTCATGCCTCAATAACCAAAACCTATTTAAAACAGGCAGCATGCTTTTCCTGATGTCAAGATAGGCTTTCCTAAACATGTGTATGATTCTGCCACACCTCTCATCATAATCTATGATGGTCAGGCCCCTCTAAGATTCCATCCTCTATTTTTGCAATATAATGATTACCTATTTCCAATGCAGTAATCATACCTGGCGGACATGTTACTCACCCTTTAGAAGATATGACCCAATTCTTGTCTGCAGATTATTTACTCGTCACTGTCAGCTCCCAATAGAATCAAAATATAGTTAACAAATACTGTTACATTGCCTCAGATTTCATTAGTAGCTTATGGAGACGCAAGGTTCAGTTCTGACTGATGGAAGTTGTTTTTCCTTTCTGCTTTGATACAGCAACTCTTCAAAGCTGGAGCAGTAAATTAGGTTTGCCGATCATCTCAATTTGCTGTTTGAAGGCATTCCAATTTCCTACAGTCAATATGTGCATTCACTATATTTTCATGACTTATACCAGCTAACTAGATTATTGTTGCTTAGTAAATGCAAAAACATTATTATAGATACACTAATATTAACTGATTTATCGGCATTCCTGCTAATTAAGTTGATTTTTTCAAATCAGCTAAGGGCAAAGTGATAAAACAACAGTGATAAACTTCTAGAGAAATATGACTGCTGAAAATGACAACTTATTGAAGTTTTGTTGTGTATTCATCAGGACCTTTAGCAAGAATACCAATT